GATCTGTGGTCATCCTACTAGAAAGATGTAGCTGGTCTCAGATGGCTGAGCCCTCCTCAGGTACCTGACACAAGAGAAAGGTGAGTGGTGATGGTCGCTTCTATGTGAGACCAAAGAACTCACAGCAGCCAGATGCAACAAAAATCCCACTTCTTGAGCTTAGCTTGTCAAGAAATTGTGGAGTTGGTGTACATACGAAGACATGCGTATGCACATCTGCCCTTTTTCACTCTTTTACAAAATTCCTTTGGGGCAGCTTCTCTCCAGGCGTAGGAGAGAGGTGAGCACATGGATTAACTGGGATCTGATCTGCCTGCTGCTCTGCTGCGGCTGAGGCCAGTGGAGATACTGAGAGTCTCTTTTTAATTACTCAGGCTGGTGATGATACAAGTAAGCATTCACCTGGGGAGGCCTTTGGTTATAGAAGAGACCCTGACACTTGGTTTGGGATTGATATTTGTTGTTACTTCCCCCCCCCCCCCTTTTTGAGGTAGAAGGTAGAATTTAATTAGATTTTTACTCTCACTTTTTTGCTCTCCAAAATTATAGGCAGCCTTTCTGCTCTTCTACGATCAAAATGGGGACCATTAAAAAATAATGAGCAGACAATCGGCTTTTATACCAAGCAGATTCTTGAAGGATTGAAATACCTCCATGACAATCAAATAGTGCATCGAGACATAAAGGTAAGATTTGCCAGAGAATTAAGGCTGATAGTGTTATGTAACTGTGTAACCATTTATTTGTCCTGTAACTTAAACTTTTTTTCCAAAAGTTCTTTGTTGTCTCGTACTCTTTCTGCTGTTCTGAACTGTGGGTTAGGTCAGTGAACCATTGTTGATTCGAACAAAGTATGTTGTTTTTTATTTTAGAAGAACTGGCATGTAGCCACTTAAGATGTGATAAAGCAGGTATTTTTATTTCTGTTTTCAATGACATGATCGAATTATTAGAAGTGAAGAATATCGTGGATGGGATATTAGCAGGTTCTTTTCTGAGGAGGTTGCAGATGAAGAAGTTCCCTTTTTTTTTAAAAAAAAAAAGCACCCTTTTCCCTGTCTTAGTATTCTTTAACTGAATGCCTGTAGTAGGGGAAATTCACTTTGAGGTGAAGTTTCTGATAATGAGATTAAATAAGGCAGGAACACTATTGATTCCTTTTTCATCTCTCAAGAGCCTTAGGATGTAATCATTACTTACTAAAGAGTGCATTGTAGAAACAGGCTATGCAAGACGTCTTAGATGAAAAATCAGCAGAGAAAAATAATTGCTCTGAATGTTCTGTTCCTCAGGGTGATAACGTGCTGATCAACACGTACAGTGGAGTGTTAAAGATTTCGGACTTTGGAACTTCAAAGAGACTTGCAGGAATCAACCCATGTACTGAAACTTTCACCGGTATGTTCCTAGAGGAGACTCTCTTTCCTCTCTCAAACTGTGCATGTAGGGTCAGAATCCACAGCTGCTGAACTTCCGTTGACTTCAAATCAATATAAAAGGTTGCTGCAAGAATTAACTTTTTGTGTACCTAATCTTAAGCTATACACTGCACTTGTATGTACTGTTCAAACAGAATGCTGTTTTGGAAGTTCCGTTTGAGACGTGAAAGTCCTCTGCAACAGGAGAGCTGTATCTTTCTATGTCGTGTTTCAGTCTGTCCCTTCTATGCGCATGGCTTTTTCATCCTACTTGATCGAAGGTTTAACTTTTTCTTTCATGGCTGGCTTGGACATCCTGGCTTTATCTCCAGAATTGCTTATCTGCAGGGCCTGTCATTAACTTCATTTGGATGTTAAATTATGCAGTGGCACTGCATTAAGTAATTACACAAAATGAGAAGTGACTGTTATTTTAATTCCATCCTCTGCTCTTCCATTTCTGCTCTAAATGGAACAGAATGCAGGATGATGTGTCAAGTTGATTCTCTTCAGAAAAAGTGTTCCTATCACCTGCTATTTTAGGTTCAGATTTCAGGTTTCACTTCCTTTTCCTCTCTGGATGCAGTTCAGAGTGATCTTCCTTATTTTAATCTTCATCTACAATACAACAAATGAAAACTATGTCTGTTCCAAAGCTCGTTAAAACCTCCTAATAATTGTCATTGACTTTGAAAAGCAGTATCATCAGATCAGTAGGTGATAGCAGATGCTTTTAGCGTGAGTAATATACTGAATAGTATTAAGAGTTTTATGTAGAATGCATATGGAAATTTCCGAGTTTTTAATAATAAAGAGGTGCGTTTTTTAAACTCTCTTGATGTTGCTTACTCCTTGGTGATTTTGTTCCTCTTGTCCTTTAGCTATCTATTTACATTATTAGTGCACATAAGTAAAAAATGAAGTTTTAAACAGGTACCCTTCAGTATATGGCACCAGAAATCATAGACAAAGGACCACGTGGCTATGGGAAGGCTGCGGACATCTGGTCTTTGGGATGCACCATCATTGAGATGGCTACAGGGAAGCCCCCATTTTATGAACTGGGAGAACCACAAGCAGCTATGTTTAAGGTCAGACATCTTCCTTGTACAACTCAGACCGGTATTTGTAAACACAGGAAATCTTATGACTGTTTTGGACAAGCTAGAATTTGAGATTGCAGGAAAAGAAGATAAAGGAAATGCTTGGTTAGTGAGGATGTTAAGAAGAATGAGCTGATTCAACTGAGTGGGAGTGCTGTGTAGTTTTGAAGAGAGGAATGGAGCAATAGCAGCTATTCAGCAGCCTGACTACTGAATAAAAAAAAAAAAAACAACTGAGAAAAGAAGCAGTTCTGTGCTTTGCGAGAGCATCTACTTGCAGTTGTGGGGTTTTTTAATGTAATTGTTTATACAACTTGTAATAGGGTTGTTTTTTCTCTGAATTAATAAACTAGTTACAGAAAGATAATATCAAAACTTGAGAACAATATAATACTTTTACTATCTAAACACTTTTTTGATGCTATTTACTGTTTGGGAAAAGAACAGTGTAGGCCATTGTTTCTCCCTTTATTTGTCTCAGGTGGGAATGTTTAAAATACACCCAGAGATTCCTGAATCCATGTCTGCAGAAGCCAAGGCATTCATATTGCGTTGCTTTGAACCAGATCCTGATAAACGAGCTTTTGCTCATGAGCTACTTATAGATGAATTCTTGAAGGTTTCAAGCAAAAAAAGGAAGTCCCCATCAAAGCTCTCAGGTAAGCGTTGCTAAACTCAATCTGGATTTTTTCTCTTGTCGTTGATGCTGTTTCCTGAAACTGCTGAGTTAGTCTTTAAGAAGAACACAGCCGATCTCCATCCCAGGTGAATGTCCAGTTGTAACCCTCTGTTCCAGCAGCTTGCTGCAGAAACACTGTTGTAGCAGAATTCTGTTATGTTGTCTCAGAGATGACTTATATAAATATTTCTAATAAGGTTTCTAAAAGTCTGTTTATGGTTTTGTGCAGCTTTTGGTTTTCTTTGAGTTTTTTTTTTTAATTTGTGTATCAAAGAATGTTTGCATAGAGTACATTTTGTGTAAGGTTAGAACACGCTATTGAGCCTCAGGGGAGTTTTCTGCATGAGCAGAAGAATCTTTGTCCCATAGCAAATCTGCCTGCACTGCATTATTTTTGTTTCACGTACTCATTTCCTGTAGTGTTCTAAATTATGGAAAGTAACAAAGGAGTTTTGAGAGTATGAATGCCATATTCTATATGTGTGCATATATACATACAAAAATATCTTATGTATATTTTTAGCATGATACCTAAAAGAAATAAAAATACCAGATTAAGGAGATGGCATTGGATGATCACTTTTAACATGGTTTCCACCCCTCAGATTAAAATTAAGTGTAAATCACAATAATGACTCTTTTAGAGATTGAAGACAGGAGAGTCCAGATGATCCATAAAATGGGAAGAGAGTTACCCTTTAGACTATGTTTATTTTCTCAGTTAATTTCAGCACATTTAACTTTCTTTTTTCTTTGCTTTTCTCCCGCAGTTCTTTCAGCTAACACAAATGGTGAGTTTTAACACGCTTCTCTAGTAACACATAACTGTGTAGATACAGAGGTTATCGCTTATTCTGGTATACTTTGTCACACTAAAATGTTGCAAAGAGAAGTGGGCACAATTATGAAAATAAGTGACCTTTCTCTGTCAGGAACGTCTAATTCATTGTGCAAATTTAAACTGCTCTTTGTAAGCCTACCCGAGTATGGCTTAATTGTCCAGGCAGGTGGGTAATAGAGGCTTGAAGAGCTGCGTTGTTGTTACAGGGCAATTTAGTGGAAATCTGAACAGGAAGCCAAATGGCTGTTTTATAGTAGCAACAGAGCCAAGGTTTGTAGAGAAAGATAACATGGATTTTTATTAGGCTAAATTCTATAATTGAAAAAAGCGGAATGCGTTTGAGACCCCCTGTCAGGCCTGAATACAGGATACTCCTCTCTTTCAGGAAACGAACTGGGCGGGGGGGCAGAACCGAACAAACACACAGTTCCCGTCATGCTGAGTTGCTATCAAAGTACATTTTGAAATGTGCCCATGTGAAATAGGTGGGAATAGTTTCTTGCAGCAGTAATGTGTGCTCTGGATTTAAAAAGAAAAGTTCTGACTTGACATGCATGTTTATTATTAATCAAAGACTATGAACTAATTAAACTTGTACAAAATAATCTGATAAAGAAATTTATGTGTTATAGTATACATACTTAAATGTATATATAAATGTATATTTATATACACACATAAAATTAAGATCTTGGAAGGTGCTTGAATGACTTACTCTGGAGAAACGTTTTGCCACTGCTGAAAGTCTGTGCTGATGGTATGAGATGCACCTTCACTCCAGTGGTGAAATTCTGTAAGTGAACTTGCAAAGAACCCAGCATTTCCATATCTCAGGAAGCTTTTGAATAAAAACATAACTGAAAGATAACTCTGTTCCAGAAGGATAAGCTTTAGGAGTTCTTTGTCAATTTTGTTTTAATAGTTTGTATTGGTATGGGGGGAGACTGGAGTCTTTCTGTTTCCTCTGAAGGAATAACCTTTTCACTTCAGAACTGTGATGGCACTATTAAATTCTACCTTCTGAATATTGCTATACTTACAGAGTATCTTCGGAGTATATCCTTACCTGTCCCTGTTCTGGTGGAAGATACAAGTAGCAGCAGTGAATATGGTTCTGTCTCACCTGACACAGAATTGAAAATTGATCCATTCTCTTTCAAAACAAGAGCCAAATCCTGTGGAGAAAAAGATGGGAAGGGAATCCGGTCCCTTTTTCTAAGGTAAAGAGTTATCTGGTATTTATGTTACACAGTAGATTGGGAATGTGTGCATTGGGGTGGTTTTTATGAAGTTTCTTCTCACTGAGTGGTCTGTCTTTCAGCATCCCAGATGAAAATTTTGAGGATCACAGTGCACCTCCTTCACCTGAAGAGAAAGATTCTGGGTTTTTCATGCTGAAGAAGGACAGTGAAAGGAGAGCCACCCTTCACAGAATATTAACTGAGGATCAAGAGAAGGTGGTGAGGAACTTGATGGAAGCTTTGGCTCAGGTAAAATAATTTCAGAAGGCAGCAAAAATTTTATGGAATTTGAAGAGTTATCTGCAGTTATCTGGAACTTTTGAAATTACACATAATAAAGCAATTAAAAAATAAAGTTTAATCAAACTAGAAAGTATATACCACGTAGACTTTCATGGTTTATTGTTTTATTTGGGCTATTAAAAATAGGCTTTAAAATTGTTTGCACTGCATTACATATGCCTTTTGTGGTGTTTGTAAATACTATATACCTGAATATTAGTGCTGGCCAGACAACAGAAAAACATGTTTTCATGATACTGTATTTTGCCAGTGATTTTTCAAATGGGACTAACTGAGGCTGTCAGGTCAATTCACAGATCCTCCCCTGGAGGTAATTACCTTGTCCTCCTTTTAGAGTTTTACCTTCTGCCTGACTGGTTTGACAGAGGGAGGTTTAGGTCTTTGGGCCCGCTCTGGCCTTATGTTAGGTTATTGCGTAGAAAAAAATGGGGCTGACTGATACACCGCTGCCTTCTAGCCAACAACCATAAAAGGGGAAGGAGGGGGCTAGGGAGAAAATAAATTGCAGCTATTCCTCACAGCAGTTGGGAGCACATATGGAGGGGAGGGAGGATGGAGTAACAGTGGGAGCTATAGCAAACAACAAAATAATTGCAGAGTGACCTTTTGGCACTCCTTTGTGGGGACGATTCATGATGACATATCGATTTAGGATGACACTGAATAAACTACAGGTCATGAACAGACTGCTAAATGTTGCAACACCGTAATTGGATGACGTGATTTTTTTGTTCTTGTTTGTAATGTGTGTGTTAGTACTTAATTGACTCACTTCATTCTCAAGGCTAAGTATTGCTGGTCTAAAACATACTGTATTAAAATGTGACAGCTCATCTTCTAAAGATAGTACTGTTTAGAACCTGATGCAAACCAACATGATTCTTATGCATGTACTACAGTTAATGTAATTGGAAATTGCTGCCATACCAATAAAAAGAGCTTCTAACTCTTGTTGGGTGGAGGGAGGAACCCACAGTTGTCCTGGTAACTGCAGAAAGTGTTAAAATAGAAGGCAATAAGAGAGATGCCCGTGATCCGTGCTTTGCTGGAGTGTTGCTATAACAGATGCAGTTGTTAGCATGTGTATGAAAGGACTAATCAGTGATTGCGAGAGGTTGAAACTCAACCAGAAAATCCAGAGAGGGTGCTTGGTGTTTTGTGCCTTCCTCAGCTGGGGCTGGCAGAGCCCAGGAGAGGAGCAGAGAGACACGGAGTTGTAGAGCCAAAGAGTTCAAAGCACACGTGCGTGGGACTGTCTGCCCTTCAAGGGGCTGCAGAACTCTGACTCCCAAACACCATTTTCTCCCTCGAGAGAAGGACCCTGATCAAAGAGTAGGAAACTTACTCAAACCAGCAGAAAGTGGTAGTAACTGCAGTTAAGGGGAAGTTGAACTGGCGTCTTGTTATGTCTTGCTTAAATGCAAAAAGTTACCAATAGATGGAAGCCTGACTTGTTTGTTAGGCCTCATCAGGATTTAGGCTTTGATAGTGCTTTTCCCTTCATGGAAACTTTTCATAAGAACAATTTTAACAAAGTCATTGAGTGCAGGGGGGGAGAATGGCCCTCCCCAAATAGGTTACTGTTTCCTGTTAGGGAGCCATACTGGTTGCCCTGTCCCCAGCACGCCTTGATGGACTTGGATCTTCTAGTGCAGGGCTACAGTGTGGTGTGTGACCACCTGTCTGCTCTAATGGCTCTTTAATTATTTACATGAAAAGGAGATCAGCTACTGTAGGACAGAGTGTGGGATCCACTTCAGTATAGCAAAGCGTCAGGTGAATTCTCCAGATCGAAATGGATCAGGATCACAGGCTAGGATCTTTGATATCAGAGATGGGTGCTTTAGTCAGTGGAATGTTTGACTGCTTTAGAGCTTTTTCCTTTTGTTTTTAGTTTCTCTCTCTCTCTCTCTCTCTCAAATAATCAAATTATCTTTGTTTTATCCTGATCAGAATTAAATAACTATAGTTAAAACTTCAATGTTACTGGCAAACAGAGTTCTTGATGTCTGGACAGCTGTAACATTCATGGCATAAAACTGGCAAATGGAACAGGACCAAACACCATATGTCTTTCTGTTATGGAAATCAATGTTAGATATCTTTAGTCTATATAAATAATTACTTAACTTCCTTCAAAATAAGCGTGTAATACTTCATGTTGAACAACTAGTATGGTTTTCTGTCTCTGGCTTAATTTTAAGATTTGGAATTGTAATTTGTAGTCAGTTGGCATAACTTTACTTTGGAGAGTAAATACAGTCCTCTGCTTCCTAGTTACTTATGCTGGTTATTCTGATGAATGCTTTTGAGCCTTTTGCTACTTTGGTGGCTCATGCAAAAGCTTTTAAAAATAGGCATATGAATATTTATAATAGAAAGGTGAGGGATTTGTAGACCTGCTCTAAGAATAGGTAAGTGTAGAGGTTCTGTATCAAGGGAAATTATGGAGGAAAGAACTAGTCTTTTTCTGAGCCTTCTGCATAACTTTGACTAATCCTTTCTTTTAAATGCTACTGTGGCACTTTGGGTGTTGTCTCCTCAGAGGCACCCTGAAACGAGAGGCGCTGCAAAGTACATGTTTGTTTGCAATTAAGAGTAATTTGTAGTATTCAGTGCACAGTATATTTATTCATATCTTTTCACTCCTGTACAATGAGACATAGGGACTAGAGTGTACCCATATAATTCAGCAACTGATATAAAATGAAGTCAGCTACTTGCTGTCAAGTAATCTGCATTACCAGGGAGCTCAGTGGTAGAGCTCTGTGCTGCTGTAGTTACGCTGCTACTGTTACCTGACCTGCAGCTGCACCTCTCCCTTAACCATAGCAGTAGAGTTTCTGAAAATCCATATTGCCAACCGATGTCATTGGTTAAAGTCCTTCTGGGTGTACGTTTCAAAACTATTTCTTTTTCTGTCTTTTCTACCAGGGAGCTGAAGAACCCAAGCTAAAATGGGAACATATCACAACGCTTGTTTCCAGCCTCAGAGAGTTTGTACGGTCCACTGATCGTAAAATCATCGCAACGACTCTTTCGAAACTGAAACTGGAGTTAGACTTTGACAGCCATGGAATCAGTCAAGTGCAGCTCGTGCTGTTTGGTTTTCAAGATGCTGTAAGTTGTCATTTTTACTAAGAACTTTGTGCACCGAAACTGACAAAAAAAAAAAAAAAAAAGAAAAGCTAGAAGCCAGAAGCAAACAGAACTTTATTAACTTCTACCCAGAGTTACTGAAACAGTAATAGTTGAGGGCTTTGAACCTGTAATAACAAAAACCCAGCCCACAGCCATGACTTGGTTCAGTTGCCATGTGATCCTTTGGCAGGACACAGACCCTGAACACAACTGGTGAGATTTTGCAGATTAAAGATCTGGAAGGCTCAGCATAGTTGTGTAAACATTGTGACATAATACTAAAGCAGGAAAGCCTTTTAAAAAAAAAAAAATCTTATTTTGGAGGGTTTTCTGGTAAATAAGACCAACGCTGAATGTCAGGCTTATCCTACGTAAATGCAGATCTCTTGAACTTGGCTTCTCTTATAAACTAATACATTAAACTACTCTATGCCCCCAGTAGTAGTCTGTCTACCTTGTAATACTGTATTGGGTTCTTATTCTAGTATTTTTGGTTAGCAGCAGATTTCTGCCAAACTAGACATTTTCATTTCAATTTATAATAAGCAGGATAAGAAGGAAGAAAAAAAGGTTACTTTTCTGTTAATTATTAATGCAAAATTTATGATATCCTACAGTGAGCAACCAAACACACAGAGATACCCTTTAAACAGCTAGTTTACCAAAAGCAAATGTGTTTGTTTTTTTTTCTTAAGCTACATATTTAAACATTAGTTCACAAGCAATTAGACTTAATGATTAAGATGAATAATCAACATGGGAGGGTCCAGCTCTGCTGGGCATCACTTGTCCAGACTTGAAGTCATGTAGTAAAAATGAAATGACAATCCAAGTAGGCATTTGAGGTGGATGATTTTGTTAGCATTTAAACCTGGGGCACTGACAAGTGAAAGAGCTGTCAGGAAGCACTGCATAGCATGTAAACTGCTTGTTGCATAGACTACACTGACAAGAATTAGATGCGGGGCTGGGGGGAAACAAAACACAAACCCAGTGTGTGAAATGAATCTGTAAAAGAGAAGTTTCCACAAATCAAAGTTTTTTCTGAGTCTTCACTTTTAAGCACATTTCAGCTCTCCATTCTACTTAGCCTCACATTAATAAATTTTGACACTTGGATGAAAAAGATTGAGAGGGGAAAACTACAAATATCTGGTTTGTATTTCTGATAGAGATGTTGCCGGGCATCAGTTGTTCGGTGGTAATTGCCGGAGTTGTGTTCCTTTCAATAAAAATGTTACCTTTTTCTGTTAATGTCATCATTACAAGTTGCTGGGTTTTAACTGATAAATGTCTCTTTCATTACTATCTCTCTTATTCAAGATAACCCACAGAAAGTTCAAAGAAAAACTTTGCTTTATATGTGCCCAGTCTTAATTCTTTTGGACATACATTAGACTTCTGTAGTAGAACACTGAAATTCAGATCGGTATCAAGACCTCAGATACTTAGAGATTGGGATATTGCTTAAAGTGAGGGAAAGAAGTCCTGAGAACAAGAGAACTAAATAAGGTAATCTGAGGTAACAAGGTTTAATAATCACAACATCCTCATCAGAGCAACCAAGAAAAAGTAGTTTTGTGTTGTAACGTAAATAACAAAATCACGCTACTGTGGATTGTTGTGTTCTTGACAAAGTTAGATCGTGCTTCTTCAGTTCTTAAATAGCTAAGTGCAGCTTAAACCCATGTCAATGTCTTGGTAGGAGTCAGTATGGGAAGGTGGAAAGCACTTGTAAATAGGAGTTGTGCTGCCGGGGGGGACCTGGGCAAGCATTTGGGGCCCTTAGGCAGCTGCTGCCCAGGTGTGGGGCCCAGGACAGGCTCCCCTGGCACTGCTGACCGCTCCCCAAGCCCAAGCACAGTGTTCAGGTGCCATCTCCTGGCCGTTGGCAATAGAATCGAGGAGACACAAGTACTGTGGTGGGTTGACCCTGACTGGCAGGTACAGGAAAGCCCCTACCTGGTTACTCGTTTCCTCCCTCCCAGCAGGATGGGGGAGAGAAGCAGAAGGGCAAAAAGTGAGAACTTGTGGGTTTTCTCACTTAAAGGCTGTTTAATAAGTGAAGGGGAGGGGAGGGAAAAACCCAAACCTCAGAGGTGATGCAGAAGCACTCACCACTAGTAGACTAATGCTCAGCCAGTCCCTGAGCAATGGCTCTTTTGGAAAAACTACCCCCCAAGTTTTATTGCAGGGCGTGATATTATACGGAAGGGGAATATCTCTTAGGTCAGTTTGAGTCAGCTGTGCTGGCCGTGTCCCCTTCCAGCCTTTAGTCCACCCCCAGCCTACTCACTGGTGGGGCAGCGTAAGGAGCAGAGGTGGCCTTGGCACTGTGTGAGCCCTGCTCAGCAAGAGCTAAAACCTGGGTGTGTTATCAGGGCTGGTTTAGTCGCCAGTCTGAAACACAGCACCATATGGGCTGCTGTAAAGAAAATTCACTCCATCCCAGCCAAACCCAGTACAATAAATGATTGCATTACTGAATACCATTGCTTTGGGGCAGTAAAAATATGATTAATAATATTTATTAACTTTCATTTGTGTAACTTCAGTCATTTTTTACGGAGAGGTTATCACAATGTGAGAGAATTAAACTAATCTCTTTTTTAGGAAGACCTAAGAGTGAAGTAGCTTCTTGCCACATTTTTTAGTAAGCAGTAGTTGCTACTTTTTAAATAAGGCTTTGAGTAACTTTGCCGTTTTCTAAATACAGTTATATTTGTTTCTTCCTGCAACTTCTCAAGTTCTGATCCTACAGAGTCTGTTGCTGTGGACAGCTTCTGTGCCTGGAAAAGAGCACCAAGTCTGTTTTGTGCCATTGCTGCTGACTGTGGCTGGGCATTTCATTGTAGCACTGTCACCCTGCCTGCTGCTTCCCTGTCACTTGGGAGTTGGAAAACTATTCCCCCAAGGTGGAGACGTTCTTCCAAGTGGCGTGGAACATCCATAGAGGCACCTGGGAATATGGCTAAAAGCAGATTGAAAGCAGACCTGTAGGCAATTGGGAGCGAGCTAGTGCTCAGATAGAAAACTATCTGATTGTACGAAATGAAAAGAAGGAAAGAGAAAATGGCACAGCACACAAATGAAGTCACGTGACTATTTAAACTAGCATTAATTAACTATTTTATGAATCAAGAAGGACCAGCATTACATTAGTTCTTTGATATTTCCTACAATTGTACTTTAAAACAGGTAAGTATTGCTCAGAGCAAGCAGTGAAAATTACGCCAAAAAAATAAAAAGATTAATTAGCTTAAGTTACAAGTGTTTCATAATATGGTCCTTGGTATTTGTCTTGCTCCCATTCTTTTTAAGTTTCTCTTCGTGCCCATGAAGGTTAAACTTCAGTATTGCAGTCATCAAAAGTCCCTTAACACAGGAACTAGTACTTGATTAAAAAATAAAAAATATCGCACAACTTGTAACAAAACAGTGGAAGTTGGCAATGTTATTTTCTTCATTTAATGACAACATGAAATAGTTTTAATCACCTGCTTTGATAGAGCATCTGTAAGTTTAAACACTTTATATAACACTGACATACGTTACAGTTTTAAGTTGTGCAGGGATATAATCTCTGAACAGAATTCTTTGTTGCTAGGTCAATAAAGTTCTCCGAAATCATAACATCAAGCCACATTGGATGTTTGCATTGGACAGCATAATCAGAAAAGCTGTGCAGACTGCTATTACTATTCTGGTCCCAGGTGAGTCATTTCCTAATACTCAGCAAATATTTATTACCTGATCTCTTTAAACGTGCTTTAGAGTTGTGATGATGATGCTTCACTTAAGATTTTGAAACCATTAGTGACCTCTTTCCTGTTCACTGTATGTTTTGCAACTCAAAAACTAATCAGTGTATTGTCCAAGTTACTTTGGAAAGCACGTTTCCAAGACACGTGATCTATTCTGCAACGCAGTGAGCAGTAGTAGGCTAAGGTGCTCTGGGGCTGAATTTTTGGAGGTGTACCGTGCTACCTCTTGAAATCCAAAGGACAGACCACTTGCCAGCACATGCTGATTTTGGAAAGTGTTTTACAAAGTGTAGATGAATGATGTGCTTTTTCTGGGTCCTGGTCAGAAGCTGTCTAAAGAAAAAAAAATAAAAAAATCTGCAGTGCCTGCAGTTTAAGTATTGTATTTTGAATGTTGTGGAAGTAGAATGCACGGCTTAGCTGAGGGAAGGCGTCTGTGTGGAAGAAACTGTAGCCCATTCTGTTCGTGACCTATTTCCAGAGTTAGTTTCTCTGCTGCTTCTTAACTTCTAAGCTTGTGGTTCCCCCATTCCCTGTGCTGGAACTAATGGTGAAACTTTCAAATATATGATTTAATGCTTTAAGTCTGAAGTCAGAATACTTACGTTCCTGTTTCCTGCAGTGGGTTAAGTCTTAAATTATCAACATGGGGACTTGAAAATTCCAACAGAAGTTACAGCTCTTCCTGTTGTCCTTGGTATTTTCCATATCCCCAGCACAACCAGCAAAGCATAAATAGGGTTTCTGCCTTTTGAATCATAAGGAAAATCTATCTTTTGATTAGAATGCTGAACACCTTTGACAGGCATGTAGTTCATTGCTGTATAATATAGGAGTACTGTAGAATTCCTCCTTAATAGACTCTTCTTCCCTGTACAGCTCAGTATCAGCATTAATTGTATGTGGTCAAGCTTAAACAAAAGCCTCTATGCCCTGGTAGTTCTCAGGGAAGGTTTCCGCTTCCCTAATTGCCTTACCCTACTTCTAATTGCATCCGCTTGCTTTTTTTTTTTCTTCCTTTTTTTTTTTTTCTTCCCCCCAACGGTGTGAAGATTTATCTCTGGCCTTAACACTTCTAAAAGTTATGGGATGTTTTAGGAGTGGTACGAAGCAGATGTTTTACAGTTATACTACCTGGTGGTGAACAATGGCAAAATGAACTTCCGTTCTTACCAGCGTGATGCCGAAGTTCAAAGCAAATTCAGACCTATTTGCCTAGCAATATTTGGGTAACTGCTGTATAACAAATCTGCTTTCTTTAATTTAGAAGAAGCACAGCTCTGTTGATCTTAGTATGTTCAGCCTTGAAAAGGTACGTAGCGTTGAAATGAAAAGACGAAACAGATCAAGGAACGAATGTCCCTTTTGTAAAGAAGAGAAATGTACTTGTTAGTTCTTGAGCAGAAAGGATAAAAAGCTACAAAAAAAACCAAGTGTGGTTCAGGAAAAAAGTATGTTTTGGTGAGGAGACTAAAGGGAGTGCTCAGCAGTAAGAAGCCACAATTGAAGGAAGGAAGGAAGGAAGATTTATATTAAAAGGTTAGAATTAACAAACAGATGTTGTTGCAATAAGAGGTTGTGTAGGAGTGTAAGATCTTGTGTACATATCTTGCATACCTGGTAAGCTCTGGTAGGTAGTTTAAACAGGGAATAACAGAAACCAGAGTACACGTATAGCTTTGTGTCCGCGGTTTTGTGGATGTACATCATTACAAAACAGGCAGTGTTCTCCCTGATAAGTAGAAGGAAAGTGCGCTACTTTTAATTGTCGGGAGAGGGGTCTGTTTGTTATTTCCTCTCTATATCTTTGGATACAATTTTTTTGTAAAGATGGTATTCTTATAATTATCAGAATGCTAAATATGCCAGAGTAGCAACAACAGGAATAGCTGGATATAAAAGAAATAACAGTTATTTGTTTAATAAAACGTTTCAAGTCAGACACATAAGAAATTACAAACCACTGAGAATGGAATTAAGAAAAAGTACTTTTGCTGCACACAGTACTTCAGCACAATTTGACATGAAATGCTGGCCAAATCTGGAATCTTATTCTTCTAGATTTTTGTGTTTTACAGCTTTTGAACATTCGATAGGCTGAATAATAATCTGCATAAACTAGGATGCAGTTATGGTCTGGGTGGTCTTAAACCCCTAGAAGATATCATCTGTTCCCTTGCTACAGAAGTTTCAGGTCTGGTTTAACCAAAGCTGTAGGATGATCTGTAAATAGTCACATAGCTCTGCTTTTCTTTTAATGTTTAACTAATGTTTAAGGTCTTTAATTTAGTTTTTTCTTTTGCTTATATTTTGTTACTAATAGAATTGAGGCCACATTTTAGTCTTGCATCTGAAAGTGATACAGCAGATCAAGACGATATAGAAGTTGAAGATCAAGATGAACAGCCTCAGAATCAAACCATCCAACAGCCTTGCATTGTTATGGAAGATGCTGTAGCTACCTCAGGTGTAAGCACACTCAGCTCTACGGTATCCCATGACTCCCAGGCAGCTCACAGATCACTGAGTGTCCAACTGGGCAGGCTAAAATTAGAGACAAACAGGTAAGTCTGGACATCAGGAGACACTGGCCTACTTGTGACAGTGTGTATTGTTTTGCTTTTAAAATACATGTGCTAGAATACTAGTGGCAGTATCAAAATTCCATAGTACTGCAAGTCGTTGTTCTAAATGATGGTCACTGTTTAGCTATGGCTGATCGCTTGTATCAGTTTTATTCATTTCCAAACAATAGTGATGCAAGTTAAGGTCAGTCTAGATTTCAGGTGCCCTTTCAAAGATCTGAAAAAACTGAGCTTGCTGCCAAGCTTCTGCTTTTTCTCTCTTTCATATGCTGTGTATGGCTGATGAATGGTGTTATGTTTTGTTTCCATTAAGGCAGAACTTGGTGTTCTTTTCTATAGTTATTCTTGGGGAATGAACTCAAGGTAGTCGACAGCCACACGTGAACTCCACAAGAAAACGGCTTCAGACTTGTCTTGTACACAGAATTCACTGCAGCAGGATCTGTGCTTACCAGCAGGCATTACCTGTTTATTAAATAAACATTGTTCATCAGAGAAAGATGGGAAAAATAGGTGGGTTATTTAAAAAGAAATAAGCCAGAAATTTGGATATTTGATTTTTTTCAGAAATATGCATATTCCACTTTAATCCTGAGAAGTGGTTCTTTGGGGGGTTTTGTTTGTTTAAGAAATGTCAGAGACAAATCTGTCTCTGTTATTTTATCCAAATAATCTTCTATATATTCTGCTTTCTTTTCATTAAGCAGACTGTCTGGTATATTTTAAAGTAGATATTTTAGCTCTTGCAGCATCTGATTTATGACATTGGATTTCCTACTGACCTCAGTGGATTTTGAATATGACCTTGATAGAAGGAGAACATGCCTTCAATAAGATAATTGTTATGCTGCTAGAACATTCTTTGTAGTTATTGTTCCAATTTAAAGTAAAATGTTAAATTCCACTTTACTTTTAAATATGTCCAAGGATTTTGCCATAATTAGAGTAATTCATTAGTAATTCATGTACTGGTTTTAATAAAGCATCGGTATTATAGAGTTCTTATGTTCTAAATAATTTTTTTGCTTGTGACCTTGAGAAATATTTTCATTGCCTTATTGATACACTTAAATAAATACATAAATAATTTAGATTGGCTTACTTCCCAAGTTTATGATGGGGAGTAAGATCAGAAGTGATCCATTTGTAGAGGTACTGTCTTCTAGCACTTTGCTTTTGTAAATTTCTCAAATGCAAAGTCTTTGGCCAAACAATCACATCCTGTCGTTCATGCAGAAATTTTGAGGTAAATAATACGGACAGTTGTTTAAGTATTAATTAAAGCTTTATTGGCATAAGCAGCTACAATAATCAACTATTTTCGTTTGATATTGGCCCTGAAGGCCATTTTCAACCAGAATGGACAGAGGAGGAATAAATTAACTGAAAGGTGACTACACACCTGGCTGGACAGAATATCAGTCTGCACTGAGATGGACCGAGCTGTGGGTGTGTGTAGAGGCACAGAGCAGCTCTCTTCACATACAGGGTGAACTTGGTAAGAATTGTTAGCTTGGGTGTGGAAGCACTCAAGTGCAGCTATGCTGCTGGTAGGCCTGCATGCAAGCTAGAAGTAGGGCTAGATGTTTTTGCAAACCAAGCATATGGGGTGCAGTTTACTTCTGTGCAAAGACAGGGAAGATGCTTTTGTGGCACATTCTCTAGCTGAGTTCCAGAATGTCCCTATCTTTCAGCGTCCCAGAAAGAAAAGTTGCGGTGCTCCACTGGTGAAAATAAATAAAATTTAAAAAAAAACAAACAAAAAAACAAACAAACAAACAAACAAAAAAAAACAACAACAAAAAAAAAAAACAAACAAAAAAAAAACCAAACAAAAAACCCACAAAACTTAAAAAACCCAAAAAACAAAACAAACCCAAACAAACTCATACTAAAATGGAACAGTTGTGGTATAGTTCTCAGGCTGACAAAGGCTTCAAGAAAGGGATGAAGATGCTGCAATTCTTTCAAGGCAGAACTTCCTACGACTCAGGAGTTGGTGATAGGTTTATGAGTATGTTCTCTATGTCCAGTTTCTCTGACCAAGTTCCTGAATATATATTGTTCGCAAGTCCTCCTTTTTACTAACACGCTTTTCTAAACTAACAATTGCAGCAGTTTCACATACTAATTTTCCATTGTATTCTGATTATTTTCCTTTGATCAGTTTGAAAGGTGCTGACCACTGAATCTCTCTGGGTTTTTCTCTGGGTTTGTGTTAAGAAGGAAGTCAAACATGGGTTCCAATTTGTTTCTGCTTGACATTCTCAAAAGTAATTGCTTAGGAGAGGACACAAGGTATTTTGCCTCCTCTTTTCTCACTCTTCATATAGCATAGGAGGGTAGGCACAAAGTGCCTAGTATGTGAGGAGGGGGCAGCCCTTGTGTGGATGAGAACATATTTTCCCCATTTAAGAAACGCCACCATAAGTTTCACCACGTTGTCATCACAGCTCCACCCTTGCCATACTTTTGAAAATGTCTGCTGGAGAGATGTGAACTGGCATTTTTCCTTACAAAGGATCATGTCACAAAGTTTAGCCCTTGGTTTATGAAACACTTTGATATTTGTTCCTCTCAGTTACACAGTTTTGTTTAAAACTGAATGCTGGCTGTAGAAACTTCACTGAAAATTTGTACCATACCACCTGTTTAGTGGGTGGATGCGTGTATGGAGGCTGGTGTGTTTGGGGCTGCTGCTTTTTTTTTTTTTTTTAAAGAGCTATAGCTTTAGGAACTAGCGAATGTTTATGTCTTCATATAGGTCATAATAAACCTATAGTGAGAGGATATTCCTATGAAAGCTGAAGAGGTCTGTCCTTGTCTCAGTCAAAAAGGTTTCCAGTTTAAGTGTAGTAAGATCTTTGCTTTCCTGAAAATTTTAAACTCCTTAAGGAAATGTGTGCTTGCTTCCTTCCCATTGCTTCACAGGTTATTGGAGGAGTTGGTTCAAAAGGAGAGAGAATTTCAAGTCCTCTTACATCAAGCTATAGAAGAAAAAGATCAAGAGATCAGAAACCTACGGCTTAGGTCACAGCCAATAGGTAAGTGAGAAGAATTTTCAAGGAAAAGTTTCATACTGGCTACAGATGAAGACAGGGGCAGCTAAACTTCTGTTCTTTTTATGGAGCCAGTCTTAGCGAAGATGCTTTATTGTTCTGCTTCTGGTAGGGTTTGCTCTGAAGTAAGAATGTACGTTGTGGAAACAAATCACTGAATTTGTTAATCACAGTACAAGGAATGGTATGATTTAAATGTTTTTGATTTGTGATTATCAGTGAGATGCAAATACAACTTAAAGCTTACTGAAGGAAGCTGAGTTTGATATGTATCTATCCTGAAGAAGGTGGAAGTGCTAATGCAGTTTGATGTTTCCGTGTAATGTGCTTCAGAGAAGCGTTGCTTTCCAAAAGCAGCTGATCCTCAGTCCAAGGCATTGCCCACGCACCAATTGTATGAATTACACTGAACAGTTTCGTTAACTTGAGGCAACAACATTAGCGTAGGAGCAGTTACAGTGAAATTGATGTGCCTTGTACTAGTAAAGTTATTTTCCAAAGAGGACAGAAAATCTATCTGTATCAATGTTCATGCTACTTTAACTATACCCCTAACCAAGTAGAGTAATTGGTGTATAACTGTCTATCAACTGTAATTAAGTGCGTGTTTTGGGAATAGACATTTATCTTATTTATGGGGATGCTGGTCTATTCTAAGCTTGAAGGGAAAGCTCACTGAAGAAAGTGCTTCAGCAGTCAAAAATGACAAGAGGTTGCTTTGGCAACACAAAACTTTTTCTCAAAAATGCTTGTTCTAGATATTCCTGGATTGTCTGTCTGTCATCGTCATTCCACTGGCACAGGGACCGAAGACCCTGATCTCATAAACTGGCTGAGCGTTCAAGGAGCTGATGAGGCCACGATAAACAAGGTAGCAATGGTTCTGTTCACTCTCTGACACTTGCAGTAGTGTTTTGTGATTCGATGCAAGAAGACACCAAACCTTCTTAATTACTTCAGCACATTTTGAGAGATTACTTTGTTTTCAAAGGATAGGAAGAAGTCATGAATATGAAGGCCTTCATAAAAATACAGTATTGTTAATAATTCCTATATCTGATTGGGAATAAGGGAATAAAATGTCCTGGTAAATAGACAGTATTGCTTTGGTTCATAGTTTTTCAGTGTCTTTACACATTGCAGCAGTTCTTGCTCATTATACCCTGGATACAGGGTACATGTTCACCCTTAGCTAACTGTTTTGAAGTGAAATCTGAAGTAGATCAGTCTGCTCTGCAGCAAATTATATCATTTTAGAGGTGTTGAGCATCTCAGAATTTCAGCTGACTTACGAGAACCTGCATGTAGTTATCACTCCTACAGATCAGATCAAAGGTTCCTTGAAATTCAAGTACATCAAATTTAGATGCCGCTTTTGAAAAAGTAGGTCTTAACTGTTGTTTTTTATTTCCTCATGAGTGAAATGTGGTATTAATTATGCTCTAATTTGTGTTCATTAAAGTCTGTGACTCTGAGAGATCAGTGGTAACAATAGAAATGCCAGTTGACAAAAGTTTTGAGCAGCTGTAAAAGCATTACACCTTTCAAGTTGTGCCTGGTATGCCAGTTGTAGAGTATACAGTATAAAACTTAAGCAGCTTCACTGTATTTCTAGAAACCATATGGCTTAATCTGTCACATGTACCACATTTTGGCCCAATTTTATGTTCCTTCTAAACTTAAACTTCTATTTTTAAGGGCAGATGGTATATAAAGCTTAGAAAATTAGATTATATTTCTAACAAAATGTTCATTTAAACTTTTTTTGTAGTTCCTGGCCGAAGACTATACATTAACGGACGTTCTCTGCTACGTTACACGAGATGATCTGAAATGTTTGAGGCTGAGGTAATGTTTCACAGTTAACTGTGCTGAGCAGGAGTTGTGTTTTGTTACAAGAGAAAATAACTGATACTAAGTCTGTCTTCATTGGATTGTGCAGTATTAATTTAAAAGAAGTAACACTTTCCAGTATGTCTTTGTATACAGATGCCTTCCTGATAAACAGCTGATACTATTTAATAGAAAAGCTTATTTTAAAATAAGAAGGAAAGCAAAGGGAAAAATTTAAAGTAAAACTTCTGCCTTACACCTAGAGACACTGGATATCCCATTAGAGCCTTGCTTTTATTTAAAAAGGTAGAGATAGCAAAACTTTCTGTAGTTTATCATCAAACTTCAGAAATACTACTCTTGGATTACAATTAACACTAGATTTCACCTTGTCATGCCAGGTGTGTGGGTCACTGCAGAATCAAGTTCAAGTAGAAACAATAGACGTTATCAAACACTGTTTGTCTGCCCAGTCAGTCTAGAAATAACTAAATAAACATTTAAAAAAAAAAATAAAAGGCAGGTGTTAAGATTTTTTTCATGATTGACACTTTAATAATGTTGGAAGTCTGCTGTGGGTTAAACAGGTCCTTTGGACCAGAAGTCTGAATTCCAGAAAGCAGGCATCTGAAAAGTGGAAAGATTGCCCTGTACTGTAATCAGAAAAGGACTCTGTTCTCTATTTGAGTATTGCATGTTGAATTTCACCTTTGATCAGCCTTCCCGCTGAATTTCATTGGTCAAAACCAGAGCAAGAAAATCAGAAGGCACCTAAATTGGAGTGCTTTCAGGTGAGAGAATATCTTTGTACCTGAGCATCTTTATGATTTTTCTTTACAGAGGAGGAATGCTATGCACACTCTGGAAGGCCATCACTGACTTTCGAGAGAAACATGCCTGACACTGAAATTTTTCTTCGCTTCTCTGCAGAGAGGAAAAGATTTCTTTTCAGCACAGAGCAATTGTGCTGTCAGAAGGACTGTTGCACTTTAATCCAGTATTTGTTTACCAATGTTAAAAACACTGCAGCTTCCTGACTGCTTTTACTCCTATAATCCATAAGGAATCTCTAAACAACCTGCAACATTATTTTACTTCAAATGTTTTTACATGCAAGTTTTTCAAAAATTAAAAAAACCCAACAAACCAACCAACCAAAACCATTATAAACTCATGAAATATTGTAGTTAAAGTAACCAGATGTTAATTTCATGAAAAACTGATGTAAGATTTCATGTGACTCTATATCACTGGAACAAAACCAAAATGTGACAACAGCTTCTCAAGTTTCTTTTTCTTTGTAATATTTCTCAATAATCTGTAGTAGAACTTCATAATTTCCATCATAATTAGGTATTTTCTTTTAGTGTGCAAGACCTAAAGGTAATTGTTTTTACCTACTGCTCTACATAGTTTAATATTGTTTATTTTTGGTAATTTAAGTTCTGTGGTGCATTTGTTTTAGAGTTGTTTATGTACTACTGAACTGTACCAGTTGCATACACCTGAACCACAGAAATGTTAGCTTGTTCTAAAGCTATCTCTGACATACACAGTTGAAAATAAAAAGAACCCGAGACTGACTTTTTCCTTTTTTTTTTACTTTTAAAATAATAAAGATGTAGAACTGGAAAATATTGGAATAAAAAAGGGGAAAAAATTATACTGAGTATCAAGGGAACCTTTCTGACACATGTTAAAGTTGCTGTGATTTGATAATCATAGCGTTGAATATTTTCTTCTTTTCCTCTTGAGTCCAATTCCCATACTGACGATCCAGGGCCAAACAAAATTCTTCTCTGGGTGCTCTACTTGACTTGAGAAATGAATGTCCTGCCTCCATGCACTGAATAGTCATTGTGGCCTGTTGTTTTCTTCTGCTTTCATTTATGCAGCCTGTCATTTCTCACACATAATGAAAAAGGATGGTGGATATTCCCTGTCCATCCACTCTCATTGTCCCTCCAGCATTGTAGCACTGGGTATCATCAGATTCGTATGGGGCAGCTGCAAAAAATTCCATTGTGAGTAAGACTTACCTGGACAAGAAGCTGCTGCTTTTTCCATAAGCCTTGGTAATCAGTGGACAGCTAAGCCCTGAATTTTTCAGGTCTGGGAAGTATTTTTCAAAGAAAATTAAATACATTTTTTGAAACATAAATATGTTGTCCTAACATGTATGTAGTAATTTTTGCCTACTAAAACCTAACAATTATGTATTAAAAAAAAAAAGGCTAAACAAAGAACAGTAGATTAAATAATTTGTCAGATTATTTTTTTTTTACTCTGAAGATGGTTCCACTGATGTTTGGGCACAGATAGATTCAACTCATTCCAACTCAGGAGAAACATAGCTGCTGTTTAACAATTTCTACTGCTCTTGCAGCAGAAAACAGTACAATTCCAAAGTAGTTTTAAGCACTGGAAGGAGCAGTGGTGGAGGTTGACTTCCAAAACCCAAAGCAACTAAAGAACTCTACCTGTGGAAAAGTGACCCTAGGACAATGATTTTTTTTGTGTGTGTGTGAAACATGATCCTGTATCAGCCCATGACTACAGTCTGAAAACCTCTGATTTCATGCAGCATGAATAGACCAGAATGTAATTGCATTGCTTTATTGGTACTTTGAAAGCACACAGGCTCTTCTCTATGACTCAGGGTGCTCAGTAATGCCAGGTATGTGTAAGAGAAGGGAGTGTGATTGAGGCATCAATTTAATGTCTCCACAAGACCTAGTCTGGCACCAGCTGGGAATTAATTCCCATCGTTCACTGCTGGCCTCACCAGACCCAAGGTGGCTTCTGCAGAGCTGCTCAGCCATCAGTTCTGTATTCTCCGCTGTCAGACTGTATCACGTCTGATGCGTGCCTAGGCTGGGCCATGTCCACTTAACGCTACTTGAGAGATCATGAACTGGTCTGAATGTGGTTCCCTGAACAGCACAGCTTTACCCATCTGTGTATTACATCTGTGTGCAAAAGTTTATGTAATATCCCCACTTATACTTCATATAGATTGTGCCAGACACAGTACTTTTTATATCCTTGAACAGAAAGTGAAGAAATATTTTGGGACAGAGTGCATTGGACAGGTCAGCCTGGGTCTCCTCAGCCTGGCTCCCTGAATACGATGGTGGGTGCCTACATGGACCACGAGTGAGGGATTTGAGATTATGTTGTAAGGACACATTATGTTTTAGTGAAGGATTTTGCCAAGGGCAACGTTTTGACTATAGGGCATACCACTCCCTTTGAGCTTTGATAGCCTCTTGGTCCCTGACTAGTGCTGTTGTAATCTAGGGCTTGGGCTGAGACACCTTTCCACCTCCATTAAGAGAGCCAGGCAGAATGCAGAAGTGAAAACTTGACCAAGGTAGTACTGATTTTGGGGTCTCTTGCACCTTTCAGCACAGAGCCCAGCCTGTTCTTGTATCACAAACACTCTCCTGCCCACGAATCACAGGGCACGTTTATCACCCAAGCTCCAGCTCCCTCTGTTTTAGAGCACTAATGGCTCCTGGTGCAACAAAACATTCATCTTCCCTTCCCCTAGAAGACCTCACGCCCTGAACTGAGCTGTTTGTGAAAGGAGGACGTCCTGCGCGGTGGTGGAAGTTTGCTTTGTCCCTCGCGCCAGACCAAGGGAGCTGCACCTCTCCACTTGCCTGCGGGTGTGCCACAGCTGCGTACCATGAGCTCCCCGATTCAGTCACCCTTCCTCAGCCGTAGTTCTGCTGATTGGTACAACCTGCAAGCAGATGCAAAATGCAATGATGTTTTAATGCAGACCTAGAACACTTTTAAGAGAAACACTCTTACGACCCTGGTAAGCAGCTTAGGGTAAGTTCAGGTGAGCTCATGGGAAAGGTAACAAGACCATGACCTTTACAGAAAGGACCGATACATCAACAACTCTACACAGAGCCATTTTTTGGAAGCGCGGCGTTGCAGGCAGCTTCGGGTACATACCCAGCTGTTGAAAAGCACACGCTGTACCGACGGGACTACAGCAGTACAGTTCTTTCCCAAACGATGCGATACGGCAGGCCACCTGGGCTTGTGAGGTGGCCACCACTCCTCCCACCTACTGTCGAGACACCGGCGGCGGGGAATCGGTAATCATCCCAAAACTTGTTGTTTCTCTCCGTGCCGGTACCTAATGAGCTGTGTCCGTGCGGCGGGAGCTCTTCTGAGGAAAAAAATAACCCACACCTGAGGAAAACACCG